TTGTCACTGCTGCCATCCACACCAATAAAGGGGTTGTCACTGCTGCCATTCACACCAATAAAGGGGTTGTCACTGCTGCCATCCACACCAATAAAGGGGTTGTCACTGCTGCCATTCACACCAATGAAGGGGAAGGGGTCGTTATTGCTGCCATTAACACCAATAAAGGAGAAGTGGTCGTTACTGCTGCCATTCACACCAATGTAGGGGAAAAAGTGGTTATTGCTGCCATTCACATAAATTGAATGGAATGGGATTTTTATTGCTGCCATTCAGAACAATGTAGGGGAAAGGGTTGTTATTGCTGCCATTGACACCATTGAATGGAATGGAGTTTTTATAGCTGCCATTGACATCAATAAATGGGAAGGGGTTGCTATTGCTACCACTGACACCAATGAAGGTGGACTGTTTAATATTGCTGCCACTAACACCAGTGAAGGTGAAGGGGTTATTAGTACTGCCACAGACACCAATGAAGGAAGAGGGATTGCTATTGCTGCCACTTACATCAATGTAGGGGAGTATTATGGTTGCCTTTTCTCTAAGCTAAATGCCTCTTCTCAGAAACCAGCATACAAACATGTATATTAGGCATTCTGACTTGCTGGTTCCTGCATACCTGTTCTTGGCCAGTGATTCAGAACATACTGAAGCAGACATGGCCAGACAGCTGGCATCTGCAGATGGATGGCAGCAATTCTCTCTCTGCAGTGAAGTGACGAGAAGTGCATCTACAATGTCCAATGATGCAACATTATAAAATAAAAATAAAACAGAGCCTCTCTCTCACATGACTGGAGGTCTGAAGTCAAGTGAGGCTTACTTTACTATACTTCACCTTGTTGCACAGTTTAGGAAGTGAGAGTACTTTTTTCTGCTAGATTCTGGTCAGCTGACAGGGTCAATTTGTAGAGGGAAGTCTACTAGACATCAGAGTAATTATAGCCACAGCAAAGCTGTATTAATACCTACAAATGCTAAGTTTATTACATAGACCGTTTTCAGTACAAATGTAATGAATTGTAGATGACAAGTGACGGCTAAAGTGGAAAAGGAAATGTCAGAGTGCAGTACAGAGCTAAGGGGAATCTCTGTCCTGCATATGAAGTGTAAATTTCAGCCTGTAGGGAAATTCAGCATCAGGATTCAGTCAGCTGTACAACGGGGTCATCGGAAAAAAAACAAACATTCTAATTTCATCAGGCGTGGAGAACAAGGAAAAATGAGAAATACATTGAATTATACCTTGCCCTGAAACTCTTTTGTTCATTTGAGTGATTTACAGCAATTACTTCTACTGCTCTTTAATGTTAATAAATATTAAACATTAGAGCAGCCTTTCTTAGCCATTTTGCCCTAGAAGAACTTATGAAATTATGTTTTAGGTCTCAGAGAAGCCCTGCTGAAGCCAATCCACTAGAACTCAAGGAGAAACATGCACCTTACATTTGTGGCTAGTGGGAAAAATGTCCCCACCCCTACAATAGGGGGGAGAATGCCACCATTATAGCCTACTAAAAAGACCATTAGTGTTATGCTGTTTGCTCTGCCAAGTGGCACTGGACCCAGAACTATGCAGGCACCATCACATAGGAGATCAGCCACAGATCAAGGAACCTCTAACAATCTCTGGAGGGGCCCTAGGGTTCCACAGAACCCTGGTTTAGAATGGCTCCATTAGACTAAGACTGGCCATACACCTGCAGACTGAACGAAAAAAATTGACGTGATTCCTCCATCAACACAAACAGCATGTCGATCGAGGAATGCCGCCACCACCTGTCAAAATACCCGATTAGATCGGGCAACTCATTGGCTGCCGGCTCTGATCGTACGAAGATTTTCCAGCCGGCTCCTTCAGTCAGCTGATCGAGGAATGCCGGCTGAAAGGGTGTCGACAGCCCCACACACTGTGTGAGTTTCGGCCGGTACATTAAAACCGTCCGAAATTCAACCAGTGTATGGGCTCCTTCAGGAATCATGCACACGGCGATCAAAGCTGTGGCTGGGGATTCCGGCGGCAAGAAGCTGCTGATTCTTGTGGCAGGAATCCCAGGTGTGTCCATACAGGTGCGGCCACTGTGCCCATTCAAGTGAATGACAGGCTGACAGCGGCCGCATCTACATGAGATGATGATGATGATGATGATGATGATGATGATTACCTGCGGATCGGGAGGCATGCTTGTCCCTGGACGCAGAGATTTGTATGGACACACCTGGGGTTCCTGCCACAGGAATCTCTAGCCGCAACTTCGACCTCAAAGTGCATGAGGCCTTAATTTGTTACCTGTGAGTGCAATAATTAGAAGATTCTTATGACATTATTAAGGGTAAAAATAAAAAGCTCTTTTGAAAAACAGTATGGCATTAGTTGGGCTTGTGTGCTAGCAATCATGGACTCTTGTATTATAGAGCCTGAAAGGGTGGTCTATGTTGCTTAACGTAACCAGATAGTTACTTTGCTTGTTTGACCTGTCTTGATAGCATAGCAAACCAGCCAAACAGCCTGCTCTGGCAATACAGTACAATGTTGGGCAACTGGTCCAATTTTACAATGGCTAGAGGGCACCATTGTGTCCAAAAGTGATTCCACTGCAAAATGACTGCACAGTCCATCATTGTTATGCGTGGTCATCGTATGGCTGTGATAACTAGCACAAGTAACTATATGATTCTACTGATTACTCAATTATAGCTATAGGTCAGAGCCAGGTGGGTCTCACATGTTATCTATTACTGTATATTTATCCCTCTTTTTTTATTTTCAACTGCAGGTGCCAACTGTACATAATGGCAGATGATATTGGATGCCATAATAAATAACTGCACTGCAAAGGTGGTATTAACGATGGTCCATCCTTTCTGATTACACCATGCATTTAGTGTCCAGACCAGAATAAAGTCAGGTCTTTATCACCTATTAATAAACAATCTTTGGCATGATTATTGCATAGATATGGGGGGCCAATTTCCACCCGTTAAGCTGCTATTATCATACCAGACTCTGTTTAGTTATTGAAATATTGCTTTGGACTGACTTCCAGCTAGATGTGGTTCCAGCCAGAGCAAATTGACAACGAAAGCCCCAGCTGGTAGGACATAAGGACAGGATCTTGAGCAAGATTGCACTGGACCATAGCCATCGTTTCCTTACCAAGAACTAGAGATCCTTCCACGTAGTCATCAATCTGATTCAAACTTGCAAGCAGGTCTAATTTGGGGCTGGTCAGAAGTGACAACAGTTCTTAGTAATGATGTGCTGGGGCTTGGAGCAAACCCAGTTCTCCTGAGTTCCCCCAAGCCCGCTTAAAAGTGTCACTGACACACACCCCTCCCAGTCCAATCAGTTGCCGCCAGGACATTCCCTACCCTGCAGCTAAACTTAACAAGGGAGCGGGGGAATGCCCCTGCCACAATTGATTGGGCTAAGAGAGGAGGGATTTCAGTCATAGTTTTGAGCAGACTAGACCGAAGTCAGGTGATTCAGGCTCACACCAAACCCTTGCACATCCTTAGTTCTTAGACACATTAATACATTAGGCCATTGCATATGCAAAGTTCATTGTAAGTAAATGCACAACTAGCAAAAATAAATGTGCCCCAAACCTAATGGCTTTTCCACATGTAAAAATAAAAGAAGTAAGCTCCCATTACCGGACTACTTTTGGAAATGCTAGTTCTCTGTCGGTAAGGATGAAACATGCAGTGCATGTTTCAGTCATTCATACGGGAGATTATATCACAACCCTTAATCAATGACAAAGCTACCATAAAATATTACAAATGACATCCAATCTTCCTAGCATCATTCTCTGACGTAATGGGGAAGACCAGCTATGGAAAATCAGCCTTATATTTGATAATATATTAACACCGCGTCAACTAGATAGCGGTTGAATTTATATGTTCTTTCTTTAAACAATTAACCCTTCATTGATTCATATCATGAGTAGAGGTCGACGACAGTACAGAAGGTCATTTATGTGTTCTCTTTTCCAAACAAAATCAAAGGCAGTATGGATCAAACCAGTTAAATAATCTTTCAGGCCTGACCTGAAAGTGCACCTCATACGTGAACTTTATGCTTAAATAAAGTTCACATATGAGGTGCAGTCAACAATAGCAACCAAAATAACACAGAAAAGGAGTAGGCACCCTCGGCGCTGCAGCTGTTGTGGAACTACAAGTCCCATGAGGTGTTGACAGCCACAGACATGACTCCCAGAGGCAAGATAGGGAGTGCCAAGGTTGCCTCCCCATGAGATAAGACAACTAAAGATGGATTCTGATTGGTTGCCAATACTTACAGCACTTTACTAAATAAAAATAGTGCACAGATCTTTTACAGGGGGGCACGGAAGCAACGGCTTGTGTCTTCTCCAGGTTGCATTTTGCTGATTTTACATGTTTGGTTCAGCAACATCAGTGAGAGCTGAGACACAAGCCGATGCATCTAGTTGGTGTTTACATACATGTGATCTTGATGAGATCATAGACCAGTAGAGCACTTTGGGAGCTGTACACAGAAAGCTGTCAGTTTTAAAACATGTGGCACAATTCTGCAAAACAGTTCTTGATGTGCAGCAAGGTTATCAACAAGGGAACTGTAATACATGAAAGTAGCCTAGTTCTGTAGTTGCAACCTCAAAGACCTTGTTAAGTTACCTTCATCCATAGGACTCCCTACCACTTCCTAGTTCTTAATGACAGCAATGTAAAGCTGTCACGTGGTGGCCATTACGCCAAAACAAAAGCAGACATAACATGCACGTTTCAGTGTTCTGTACACATACTCAAGCATGCTTATAATGAGCCTTTCATACTAAGCACAGTGCAACCTTGATTTAGGATGTGCACTGGTCATCTAAGGTGACTTTGTGGAACTTTTATGTACTTGTTTTTACATTTTACACTGTGCTTGCATTCAATCATATCACATGGCTTTTTCTTCTACTCAAGAAAACCATAAAAAGCTAAATCTTAAAAAGTCTCACCTGACTGGGGTCAGCAGCCTTGAAGACATGGCAGGTCATCTCAGACTCTGGGTTGTCAGGCTGGGTTTTAATCAAGTAGGCAAAGTAAGAGGGGTCTTGGCTGTTGTGGATGAAGCGAGCAATGTGGTGTGCTTTGTGCTCAAAGATAAAGACTGCTGTGTTGCCACTAGCACCATTCAAGGCTGGCACACACCGAAGGTGAGGGGCAACTAGCAACAACTGCACCTCTCTGCAAGGAGCCACGCAACCAGGGGGCTCTTGTCTTTCTGAACGTCTGCGAATTTCTGCCACTAGCCATGGCAGCATGGGCAAAGTTGTCCTATGGTCTAGGGATGACCATCCAACATACCACAGGCGGAACCTCTTCTCTCCTTTGGCTGTCCTGTCAGGGACCAGTTCCTCCTCCAACAGGGGGTGACACTGGTCTGCTGAACTTCTTCTCTCCATGACTGCTCCTCAAAATGTCCTAGTATTAGAAAAACAAAGTACAGTATGATAATCCTTGCAGAGGGACAGATAAGGGTAGTTCATCAGCAGAACTGCAGTCCTATATCTGGAAGCTCTCTTGTACAAGTCCAGACATGGGCAGTTTACACATAAATCAGTTGCTCCATTAAAAGGTCATTAGAAGGCACAGGGATCCCTTTAAACGAGGTCTAAATGGGAATAGTGGTGGAGGCTTGCTGAGCACGGGCACATGGCAGGCTTCTGCACAATTGTGCCTTCAGGATCTGCTTTCGTACACAGCCCTGTGTGTGTGCTGCGCTTCCTTCTCCCCTCCCTCTAGCAGGCGATCGTCATGACAGGTCCTGCAGATCAGCTTCACCCCACCTCCTGCCTGGATCAGACTCCCAGCCCAGCGCCTCTCCTCATTGTCTCCCCTCCAGTTCTATGCACGCTGCCATTGGACTGGGCTTACAGTGAGGCTGCACATTTCCTCCCAGGAATCCCCTTCTCATGCATGACCAGAATAGAACATTCACAGGAAAGCCCTGATTGGTGTGACAGCAGCAGCAGACAGTCAATCACTCCTCCCTGCAGAAAGAGCAATGCATCCCCCACCTCTTCCTTCCACAGCATGGAGGGTGTCTGCTTTCATATACACACCCCCTGCAAGAACTTTCATCACCTGCAGGATTCCCACAGCCCTGCAGTCTGTCAGTGCAAATGGCCATAACAGGGAACTCTGTATTATAAAAGACCCATTGTGCTCATTATAGAGCTCAACTCACGCCCCAGTGAGTGAGGAGAGGGTGTCAGTGAGTGAGGAGAGGGTG